GTGGGGCCGGAGCGGGTCGCCCGGAAGCCGCGCGGAATTACCAGCGGCGCCGTCGGTCCCTGTCGAGGACCGGTGGGCGCCCGACCCGCCTCCAGGCCGGCCATGGCGGGCGCCAGGCCCGGCGTCCACGCGCTGCAGCTGGAGCCGCCCACCGTGGTGGAGACCCTGCGGCGCGGGAGTAAGTTCATCAAATGGGACGAGGTAAGCGCGGGGGACCCTCCCCCCATCCCGCTCAAGCTTAACTAGACGCCGGGGACCCCCCCTGAGTCTGGCCTGGCCCCGGCTCCCCCATCCCAGCCCGGCTACGCTCCTGAAACTTGAGTCCCCAGGCGACCCCATAATGAAGACTTTGTCCCCCCCAAGTCCCTCAGCTCTGGAAAATTTGGCTCCCCACTCCTTGGCTAATAAATCCTGCCCCCACCTTTCCACTTGTCCCTCCCATCCTCCCTGCCAGGCTAATTCTAGTTCCCCGACAGTGGCCTGGTCCACAGACTCCTGCCCAGCCCTGGACACCCTGCTCTGGCTTGGGACCCTGGCATCCAGTCTGGCTCAGGGCACCCCTTTTCTGGGACCCTGCTTTTCTCAGTGCCTTCGCCCGAGCATTCCTCTCCCATTCATTACTTTTTCACCCCATTCTGGCTGTCACCCCTTTGCCTGCTTCTGGATCTCAGCCCAACAGTCCACTCAGGCAGGAGCACCAAGTCCCCCCTAATCGAGGCATTGCCCTCCAAGTTCTTCCACCCTTGGAGAACTTTGCTCCCCACTCTGTGGTATTGGGGACTTTGAACCCCAATAAAGCCTGGCTCCCCTTTCCAGCTGTCCTGCCCTTGTGCCTCCCAGGTACCCTGGCCTCCCACCCTGTCCTGCACCCCACCCTCGGTTTCACCCCCCACACCCCTGCCCCTTGGGCTCCTCTTTCCCCAGGGCCTCCACCCGGTCTGCCTGTGCTTCCTCGCTGCTCCTTCCCAGTCAGACCAGAGGCCTGGAAGACTGTGGGCTCCTTTCCGGCTGGGTGGGGCGAGAGGCTTGGGAGCTGGGGTTGGGGGAGGACCTGGGGGCGTGGCCTGAGGCAGCAGGTGTGCCACCAGAAGTGCCTGGGTGCCCTGGGGAGCAGGGAGACCCCTCCCCCTAGGCCAGCCTGTAGGGAAAAGTTTCTCCTTTTCCTTCCAGTGTGATAAACCCAAATAAGGAAGTGGGAGCAGAGAGAGAGGGCCCTGGGGGTGGGGTGGGGGTGCTGACCAGGGCTTGGGGCTGGAGAGCAGGGGGCCTGGGCTGCCTTTGAAGGCCTGGCCCTGGGAGGGGGCAGAAGGCGGCACTGGGGGCAGTACCCTCAGAACTCATCCTTCCCCACACTATTGAGGCTTCAGCCCCAGGGCAGGGTTGGTAAGTCTGCAGAGGGCAGCTGGGGATGGGTGTTAGTGCACTGAGGTGGGGTGGCCCAAGCACCCCAGAAGTTCCTGGGCCTCCCATCCCCTCTTCCCCTAGATCAACCTCTTGTCTGTTGTAAGCAAACCCTGAGATGGGTGGGGCTGGTGCAATCCCTGTTCTCCAGAAAAGGAAACTGAGGTCTTAAAAGAGTAGATTCATCCCAGACTCCACAATGGGGCTGTGGCTGAGGCTGGAGCTCAGACCCTGGCAGAGGTCCTGGTCCCCTGCTTCCCAGGCCTCAAGATGCTGGCACCATACTGCCTGCCTGCAGATTCTGGCTCCACTGCATGATCTTGGACAAGCTCCTTAGCCTCTCTGTACCTCAGTTTCCTCATCTGTAAAATAGGAATAACAACGGCACACCCTTCATAGCATTGTCGGGAGGACCAAGTGAGCTTATATATATGAAATGCTTAGAACTGTGTTGGGCACACAGTAGGGGCCAAGGGAGTGTGAGCTATATACTGATGGTGATATAATTACCCACCAGACAAGAAGCAGCAGTCTGGGTGGCACCCAAAGTGAGGTTGGGGCCTCTTCTGCCTGGAGGAGCCCAGGGCAGGAGAATTCTACCTGTGGCCACCGGGCCACTCGGGCCCTAGCCGAGTCTAAGCCCTTGATGACAGCCCCTTCTGGCTGCTGTCCCTCATTCGCACTGGGCGGCCTTGGGATTGAGCCAGGGACCGGGCCTTCCTCAGAAAATGGGGCCAGCGGGCCCTTCCCTGCTCCCTGCCAGCCACAGGGCCATTCAAGGGAGGACAGAGTTCACCGTCTGTTGTGAGGACAGGGTTGGCCTCCCTTTTGGGGGTACTCAGTCTGTTCTTTTGTGAGGTTGTGAGAGTCCTGTGGGATACAGCGTCGGGTGAGCTGTGAGGGTCCTGTGGGGTGCAGGGTGGGATGGGGAAGCTGTGAGGCTGTGAGGGTTCTGAGGGGTGCAGTGTGGGGTAAGGGGAGCTGTGAGGCTGTGAGGGTCCTGGAGGTGTAGGGTGGGATGGGGCAGCTGTGAGGCTATGAGGGTCCTGGGGGATGCAAGATAGGGAGAAATGGACTTGGAGGTGGATATAAGGGTGGCTGGTCATATTGGGGCCCTGAGGGATGCAGAGGGCTGTGGAAGTCAGATGCCCGCCCCCTGTGTTTTTATCTTGTAAACCTCCATAATGAATTCAACTAAGGGTACCACCAGGGGCTCTAACCTTCAGGGAGCTCTTGGGCCTTCTGGGGAAACCAAGCCTGGAGAGGGTCAGGGGAGGCCTCCCCAAGGAGGTGGGTCAGATTTCACGGGGAGAGCAAGAAAGAAAGGCAATCCCAGCAAAGGGAACAATGAGGCGAAGCTGGGAGTGGGAAAGGGTGGACAGTGGTCCATGTGACAGGTCAGGGCAAGAGGTGAGGCTGGGAGGGGCCAGAGCGTGGGGGTCCCAACTGTCATGCTGCGGACCTTGCTCCATCCTGAGGGCTGTATGGAACTGTGAAGGACCTGTGGACTGGAAGGGGCCTTGTCGTAGCTCACTGGCAGAAGCAGTGGCTGGATGGCTGAGAAGTCAGGCGTCAAGCCTGGGCCAAAGCCTGTGGGCAGGACTAGCCCTCAGCCCTCACTTCTTCACCACTGCCCTCCTGGCCCGTCCCCAGGAGTCTTCTAGTCGGAACCTGGTTACCCTGCGCGTGGACCCCAATGGCTTCTTTCTGTACTGGACGGGACCCAACATGGTAAGGGCAGGTGCTGGCACAGCTCACTTGGGCCTGTGGCCCCTGCCCCAGACCCCCGTGCAGCACCCCCATCCATGAGGTTGGGGCCTAGCTGCTGGCTGACCTCTCCCACGGCTCCCCGGACAGGAAGTGCTAAGGGTGGGGGCTGAGACTGGGGCTCCAGCCAGGGGGTGGCCACTCCCTAGCCTCGGTGGGGAGCTCAGGGTCTCCTGGCTGCCACCCTGCAGCCTCTGAGACCCACCCTGGCATCTGGTTTCCCAGGAGGTGGACACACTGGACATCAGCTCCATCCGGGACACGCGGACTGGTCGCTACGCCCGCCTACCCAAGGTGAGTGAAGGGGCCCAGAACTAAGGATGGGCGTGAGGCCCAGGGGGGGCGGGGCGCCCCTCCTCAGCCAGGGCTCTCGCTTACCCAGGACCCCAAGATCCGGGAGGTGCTGGGCTTTGGGGGTCCCGATGCCCGGCTGGAGGAGAAGCTGATAACGGTGGTGGCTGGGCCAGACCCGGTGAACACGACGTTCTTGAACTTCATGGCCGTGCAGGATGACACAGCCAAGGTGGGCTGGGGCTGGGGCTGAGGGGAGGGCCTGGGGAAGCCCCTGACTCAGTTGCTCAGTTAGCTATCGCTTACTGAGCACCCGTTGTGTCCTAGGCTGTTCTCTGACCCTATGTCTCACTGTCCTCTGAAAAACTAATACGTAAGCACTACTGTGTTCCGGGAGCCTTGGTGGTGAATGATTAAGAGCTCGGCTGCTAAACAAAAGGTTGGCAGTTCGAATCCACCAGCCACTCCTTGGAAACCCCATGGGTCAGTTCTGCTCTGTCCTATAGGGCTGCTATGAGCCAGAATCGACTCGATGACAACGGGTTTGGTTTTTGGTTTACTGTGTGCCAGACCTGGTACTGGGCATGGGCCATGGCTGGTCCAGCTCCTCTGTCCCCCGCTCACCGCCACCCATCTGCTGACCCCCCAGATCTGGTCCGAGGAGCTGTTCAAGCTGGCTATGAACATCCTGGCTCAGAACGCCTCCCGGAACACCTTCCTACGCAAAGCGTGAGCGCTGGGCCACCCAGGGGGGCGCTGGGGGGTTTGGGTGGCCATCGTCAGGGTGTAACCCCTCCATCTGCTGTCCCAGATACACGAAGCTGAAGCTGCAGGTGAACCAGGATGGGCGAATCCCTGTCAAGAAGTGAGCACCCTCCTGCCCCTCAGCACCCTCCCTCCTGCCTCGACCTTGATGATCTTTGCCCCCCCCCGCCCCGTCCCTGACCCTGACCCCTCCCATCTACTCCAGCATCCTGAAGATGTTCTCAGCAGACAAGAAGCGGGTGGAGACCGCGCTGGAATCCTGCGGCCTCAATTTCAACCGGGTGTGTGGGATGGTTGTGGGAGCAAGGAGGGTGCCTGGTGGGTGCCCACTCCCTGGGGCCGGTTGCCCCTGGGTTCTCATCCCTTACTCCTGGCCCCCAGAGTGAGTCCATCCGGCCTGACGAGTTTTCCTTGGACATCTTTGAGCGGTTCCTGAACAAGCTGTGTCTGCGGCCGGACATCGACAAGATCCTGCTGGAGATGTGAGTGGGCGGGGCAGGGGGCTCCCCTTGCTGCTCCGCACGGCTGGGCCATCTCCTAGCCCTGGCCTGTGCGCAGAGTTCCTGCCAGCCCAGTGAGGAGAAGAGGAGCTGGCGGGCCAGGTGGTGATGGCCATGCTCAGAGCCGCCTTTCTGGCAGCTCTGTTACCGGGCTGCTTTGTGCTGATGCTCTGCCAGGGTTAGTTTAATCAGCCCACCTTGCGGATGAGAACAGAGCAGCTCAGACATGCTGGGGGACACAGTGAGTGAGGGCTGCAGCCGGGGTGGAGCCAGGAGCCGAGCACTCGATGGCCGGTGCTTGTTCGTTTGCTGCCAAGGCCAAGTGGTCAGAGAGCGGATGGGGAAACTGAGGCCCAGAGCGGGCAGCGACTTGCCTTGAGTCCCAGACACTGGATGCCAAAGCCGGGCAGGAGGAGACCTTCTGACTCCCTCTGGCCTGACCCGGCTCTCCCAGGGTGAGGGCTGGAGTGGGGGTGGCGAGCTGGCGAGGCTCAGCCTGACCCCGCTTCTTGCCATGTCTAGAGGTGCCAAGGGGAAGCCGTACCTGACACTGGAGCAGCTCATGGACTTCATCAACCAGAAGCAGCGTGACCCGAGACTCAACGAAGTGCTGTACCCACCGCTGCGGCCCTCGCAGGCGCGGCTGCTCATCGAGAAGTATGAGCCCAACAAGCAGTTCCTGGAGCGAGGTGAGCTGGCCAGCGGGGGTGCGGGCAGTTGGAGGAGTGGGGGGGGCGTCCAGCTGACCCCGCCACCTCCGCTCCTAGACCAGATGTCCATGGAGGGCTTTAGCCGCTACCTGGGAGGCGAGGAGAATGGCATTCTGCCCCTGGAGGCCCTGGACCTGAGCGCGGACATGACCCAGCCCCTGAGCGCCTATTTCATCAACTCCTCACACAACACCTATCTCACCGGTGAGTGAGTGAGCGAGCTGTCCTCGGCTGGGGGGGATGGCCAACCCTGACCTCTGACCTCTGGCCCTTGCACCACGCATTCATCAGCCAGCCAGTGCTGGGGATGCAGGCAGGCAGCAGAGAGCCAGACCTGGGGGCCAGTGTCCCTGCATGGAGCATCTCATCTTGGGGGTGATCAGGAAGGGCCTCCCTGGGGAAGGGCTGGGGTCTGGGACAGCTCTGCCACCACTGCCACCGAGCTATTGAGGGAGGAACAGCCTGTGCAAAGGCCTGGAGCAGGAGGCTGCTTGGCTGGGGAGGCGGGGCAGGGGTGTGGGCCCAGGGCAGGTACAGGGTGCAAGGAGGCTGGATCAGAAGGCCAGGCCAGACCAGGGGGCAGAGGTGGCTGTATCCTGAGCAGGAGGGAGAGGCTCTAGATGGTGGTAAGCAGGGCCTAGGAGCAGGTGATGTGACCTGATATGTTTTTAAAAGGAGGATGCCAGGTCTGTGTGGAGATTGGATTGAGGTAGGGAGGGGCCTGCGGGCCCCCAAGGCAGGAGGGGATAGAGGCTGTTTCTGGGCAGAGGTGGTAGAGGGTGTGGAAGGAAGAGAGGGATTATGAGGGTTACAGAGAGTGGGGCTTTCGGGCAGGACTCCCAGGGTTCAGGCTGGTGGGATGGGTGGGTGATGGATGTTTACCTGTAGAGGATGAGCCCTGGAGGGAACCTGCCTGTCAGCAAGCACTGGGGGACAGCTACTTTGTGCCCAGCTTGGGGTGGGCACCAGGGGCTGGGTGAGTGGGCATGGGCCCTGCCCTGAGAGTTCTGGGGGCAATGGTACTTATTCCACAAGTGGTTAAGAGGTGACCAAGATGCTAATAGGAGTTCCTGGGTAATGCAAACAGTTAAGCACTCGACTACTAACCGAAAGGTTGGTGGTTCGAACCCATCCGGAGGTGCCTCGGAAGAAAAGCTTGGCGATTTTCTTCTGAAAGGTCACAGCCTTGAAAACTGGCTTTTCAAGGCTATGGAGGAATTCTGTTCTGTACCACATGGGGTCACCACAGCTAGAATTGACTCAACAGCAACTGGCTTGGTTTGGTTTTAGGGTGATGATGACAGGCTCGCCTGGTAGAGTGCACTGGGGCCAGGCTGGGCTGTCACAGGGGACCTGTGTATCCCCACCATGGTCTGGTTCGGTGCTGGCCTCAGGAAGGGGAGGAGGAGAACCCAGGTGGGTGAGAGGCCATCTGGTCAGGTGGCCATGGTGACAAAGCCTCGTCCACAGCGGGGCAGCTGGCTGGGACTTCGTCGGTGGAGATGTACCGGCAGACGCTGCTGTGGGGCTGCCGCTGCGTGGAGCTGGACGTGTGGAAGGGGCGGCCGCCCGAGGAGGAGCCCTTCATCACCCACGGCTTCACCATGACCACAGAAGTGCCACTGCGTGATGTGCTCGAGGCCATCGCTGAGACCGCCTTCAAGACCTCACCCTACCCCGTCATCCTCTCCTTCGAGAACCACGTGGACTCGTGAGTGGGACCCTGGCCCAGGGACCCCATGCCCTAGGTGTCTGTCCCAGGAAACCTCTGACATGGAGGCCTCTGCCCTGGGGACCCTGGTGGGCCCAGAGATATCCTCCAGCCGTAGGAGCGTTGTACTCTCCTGTGGCCTCTGACCCTGGGAATTTCCACTGACCTTGTGGGCCTCTGACCTCTGACCTTGGCCCCACAGGGCAAAGCAGCAGGCCAAGATGGCTGAGTACTGCCGCTCTATCTTCGGGGACGCACTGCTCATTGACCCGCTGGACAAGTACCCGGTATGGGGGCTGGGAGCCATGGCAGGGCGGGCAGGGGGTGAGGGGCACCTGAGTGGCCCTGACCTGTCTCTGCCCACCCAGCTGGCCCCGGGCGTCCCCCTGCCTAGCCCCCAGGACCTGATGGGCCGCATCCTGGTGAAGAACAAGAAGAGGCACCCACCCAGCACTGGCGTCCCCGACAGCTCGGTGCGCAAGCGGCCGCTGGAGCAGAGCAACTCGGCCCTGAGTGAGATCTCTGCTGCCACTGAGCCCTCCTCGCCCCAGCTCGGTATGGCTACGGGCTGACCTTTGACCCTCATCCCGACCCTCGTCCTGACCCTAGTCTCTTCCCTCAGGTGACCACCCCCCTTCCCAGGCAAAGTACCATCTCACCTCAGACCCCTGATCCCAACCTCCCACCTCACTGAGCCCATCCTCCCTGGGGATACTGTCCACTCCAACCTCTGACCTTTCTCCTTACCAAGCCACTTACCACCGTCAGCTGGGAAGGGACCTCCAGCCTCTGACCCCAGATGCCATATTACTGAGCTATACCCCAGGTGGATTTGGCTCCATTCAACTCCTGACTCCTCAGCCTCAACCTCTCACCTCACAAGCCCTCTCCTCCAACCCAGTTATGACTGAATTCTGACCTCTGACCTCAGCGAACCCCATCCCTATGCTTTGGGTACAACTCTTAGACCCCTGACCCCTATTCTGTGACTCTCACTGAGTCTACCCACTCAACTGGCTATAACTTCAGCCAACTTTTGACCTCTTACCTCATTGAGGTACCCCAGCTGGGTATGGTGGCATCTGGCCCAACTGTTCACCTCACTAAGCCACCTCCTTCGATGTGGGGTCTGACTGACCCCTGACCTGTAACCCCACCATGTCGTTTATCCCCATTGGGTCAAGCTGCTGTACGCCAGTTCTTGACTTCTTACCCCTCTGAGTTGCCCTGCTTACTTCCCTGTTGAATACAACTGCAGACCTTGACCCCTCTGAGCTACCACTGGGTTTAACACCATCTGACCCCTGACTTCTGTCCTCTCCCAAACCCCACCCCTTTGATTTTCCACTGAGTCACCTCCACATACTGGACACCCCCCTGTCTTCATGAGCATCTGTGTGTGACCCTGACCCCTGGCTCCCTGTGCCTCCATCCTCTGTAGGGTCCCCCAGCTCCGACAGCTGTCCAGGCCTGAGCAATGGGGAGGAGGTGGGGCTTGAGAAGCCCAGCCTGGAGCCTCGGAAGTCTCTAGGGGACGAGGGGCTGCGCCAGGGTCCTGATGCTCTTGGGTCTGCTGACCGTGAGTACGAGGAGGAAGATGAGGAAGAGGAGGAGCAGACGGACCCCAAAAAGCTGACCTCAGATGAGGTCAGGCCCACGGGCAAGAAGGGTGTAGTGTGAGCAAGACAGACATTATCCTTGCCCTCTTGGAGTTCAGTGTGGATGGGTGGCAGGGGCAGATCTTAGATAAACAGGGATGGGAGCAAGTGTTCATGATGTGGGCCAGGGGAGAGATGTTTGGGTGCAGAGGTGGCAGGAGGGCGGGGAGTCTGACCTGGGCAGGGAGGCTGGGTCGGCAGAGCTGAGGAAGAGGGAACAGCATGTGCGAAGGTCCTGTGGCAGGGCTGGGGATGGGCGGTACAAAATGAGGGTGTGGAACCTCGGAGAGCGTCAAGGAGGGGTTCTGAGGGGTTGACAGGATCTGATTTATGGTGAGACAAGGTCGCCAGACTATAGGATGAGGTTGGATTTGAGAGGGGCCCAGAGTGGGTAAGGGGCAGCCAGAGGTCAGCATTGGATGTGTTGAAGTAGAGGCTCTTGTTCAGTACCTGAGGGGAGATAGCAAGGTGGTGACTGGAAATACTCACTGGGATGGACATTTGGGCTCATTTTTATGTGTGTAATCGAACCCTGGGCATGGGCATGGAGTTCTAGCTTCCATCAGGAAGGTGGGAGCAAGCCAGGAGGGTGAGGTCCAGAGCACATCACTGAGGCCCTCGGAGAGAGGGCTCTTGGGGCAGGTGGAACCAGGACTGAGGGAGGCCATGGATCAGAGGCCTGGAGGGGCTGGGTTCCTCAGTGAAATGGCAGTGGGTCGATGGGCAGTGGAGGGAGATAATGTGGCGGTGACAGCCTGGCTGGAGGGTTGGCGTTAATGGGGACAGAGAGGATGAGGCTGAAGGGGGACCTGAAGCTGAGTGGAGGAGGCTGGAGTGGGTCTGACACCGATGAGGGAGTGATATGGGGGATGGGTCAGGGCCCAGGACTTGGGCTTCAGTGGGCGGGGAGTCAGCGCCTCCTTCATGTGGGAAGGGGCCAGGTGAGGGAAATTCCAGCTGATGGCTGGGGGTCCTGGTACTGCTGACCCTGGGTTTGGGGCCACAGGGCACGGCCAGCAGTGAGGTTAATGCCACTGAGGAAATGTCAACGCTGGTCAACTACATTGAGCCTGTCAAGTTCAAGTCCTTTGAGGCTGCTCGAAGTGAGTGGGATGGGAGGTGGTGGGGGTGGGAGCTGGCCCTGTCGGGCCCTGCTAGGCTTGCCACCCTACCTCCTGCCCACATGTGCCCATCCCCCCGCAGAGAGGAACAAGTGCTTTGAGATGTCATCCTTTGTGGAGACCAAGGCTCTGGAGCAACTGAAGGAGAGCCCCATGGAGTTTGTGGAGTATCCTCCTGAGTCTCTGCAGGCAGAGGGCCAGGGTGGGGACACGTGGAGGCTCAGATGTTCTGATGCCTGTTGATGCCACCTTCACAGGCCTCAGGCCCTCCAGCACCCTGGTCTGGAGGTTGGACCTTTAGTGCAGGCTGGGTGGGCCCTGGGAGACTGCTCAGGGGCTAGGCCCAGAGTGGGAGGCAGAAGGGACAGCGTGGGTGGCGGCCAGGAGGTGGAGTTCATAGGAGCAGAGGATGGGCCTCGAATGCTGGGTAGGAGGTAGGAGGCAGAGGCCGACGGGGGTGCGGCTGGGCAGGCCCCGGGAAACTGTGTGGCCTCTGACTGCTGACCTCAGATACAACAAGCAGCAGCTCAGCCGAATCTACCCCAAGGGCACCCGCGTGGACTCGTCCAACTACATGCCCCAGCTCTTCTGGAATGTGGGCTGCCAGCTCGTCGCGCTCAACTTCCAGACCCTGGGTGAGTGCTGGCCTGCCTTAGCCCCTGACCCCTGACCCCCAGCCCCACTAACTTCTGACCCATGACCCTGGTAATCTTTCCCCAGACCTCGGCCATCCCCAATTTCTGATCTTAGCTGACTCTAGACCCTTTACCTTGTCTGATCTTTCCCAAATCTGGATGCCAGTGGCATTTGATCCCACCCCAACCCTGGACTCCATCTGACCTCCTAATGATCCCTGGTGCCACCTTTGCATGACACTATCCCACCTGACTCCTGGCCCCATCTGACCTTCTGACCCTTGCCCTCCCTGTTGCCCCCCAGATGTGGCGATGCAGCTCAATGCAGGCGTGTTTGAGTACAATGGGCGCAGCGGTTACCTGCTGAAGCCTGAGTTCATGCGGCGGCCGGACAAGTCCTTCGACCCCTTCACTGAAGTCATTGTGGACGGCATTGTGGCCAACGCCTTACGGGTCAAGGTAAGGCTGGGGAGTGGGGTCAGGGGTGTCCTGGGGAGTGGGACTCTCAGCAGCCACCTCATCCTCCTCGGCCCACTGTCCCCCAGGTGATCTCGGGGCAGTTCCTGTCTGACAGGAAGGTGGGAATCTACGTGGAGGTGGACATGTTTGGCCTCCCTGTTGACACGCGCCGCAAGTACCGCACGCGGACCTCACAGGGGAACTCGTTCAATCCCGTGTGGGATGAGGAGCCCTTCGACTTCCCCAAGGTGAGCCTGGCCCTGCAACTACCCTGGGCACGACAGATCCAGCCTGGACCTGTCCGGGCTCTCAGGTGGGACAGGAGCCGGAAATAGGACTGCACCTCCAGGTCCCACCCCAGGCCTTGCATACCCCAGGGTCAGGCTCAGGCTCCCTGTGCTCCCCAGGGTGAGAGAAGACAGGAAAGGGAGACAGGGAGGGGAGCTCTAGCCTGAGGTCCTGCAGCCCCGCTATGAGGAGGGAGCACTGCCTGCCCATCTCAGAGGCAGGAAGCCCATACCTGCTGTTCCCCCCAACCCATGGTCCCAAATGGCCTAGACGTCCGCTTCCAACCTGGCACGGGAGTGACCTTGATGTGTGGTTCACTCAACAGCTCTTAAGCTGGCAATGAGCAGACCTGTCTCCCATTGGGCCTGGGGCAGGAGGGAGGCGGGCAGTGGCGGGAGGGGTCCGTTGGCCTGTTTTCTCAGGTCATTGCTCTGGGCCAGGCTGTGAAGGTTGTGGGTCAGTCCTCACTCCATGGCTGTGGGGGCTCATGGTCAGTTGTTAAGTAAGCAAGTCCAAGGGTGTGCTCAGTGATCGGGCCTCGGGCTGCGGTCCCTGTGGCTCAGGGGCTGCGGTGGCCGGGCGTCAGCTCCGTGGCTCAGCACTTCTGTGACGGCAGGTGGTGCTGCCTACGCTGGCTTCACTCCGCATTGCGGCCTTTGAGGAGGGCGGCAAGTTCGTGGGGCACCGGGTTCTGCCCGTCTCTGCCATCCGCTCAGGTGAGGCCGTGTTGGGCTTGGGCAGCACTGGGGTTAGTGGGTGTGGGGGCCCCGCTGGGCCCAGCCCATCTCGCCTGCCTGCCCTCCCACAGGGTACCACTATGTCTGCCTGCGGAATGAGGCTAACCAGCCGCTGTGTCTGCCAGCCCTGCTTGTCTACACGGAGGCCTCTGACTACATCCCCGATGACCATCAGGGTGAGCTAGGGCGTGGTGGGGTAGAGGTGCTGGGAGTGGCTGAGCTGGCTGGCCCTAATTCAGGATGGTAAACAGTCAGGGGCAGGGATGGGCCTGCAGCATCTCAGTGACCAGTGCTGAGCTGGTGGGGCGGGTGTGGCCCAGGGGGCTCTGTCTCTATGACCCTTGCCCTTACTGTAGACTACGCGGAGGCCCTGATCAACCCCATCAAGCACGTCAGCCTGATGGACCAGAGGGCCAAGCAGCTGGCTGCCCTCATTGGGGAGAATGAGGTGAGCCAGGGCGGGGCTGGGGCAGGCCTGGGGCTCGATGGGCGGGGCCTGGGAGGCAGACAGGAGAGCCCTGGGAAGTAGGGGGAACCTGGTGCCCATGGACATGGCTGCTGTGGGTGTGAGTGGGGAAGTGAGGCCTGGTCAGCCACCCAGCCCTTGTGCCAAGCCCAGTGGAAAAGAGCCTTGTAGCCTCCCTAGCTCTCCACGGCCTCAGTCCCACCCGACTCCCAGCCTGGTGGTCTGCCTCCTCTCCCCAGCGGGGCTGTTTGATGCCTTCACATGCTGCCAACTCCACCTTCCACACATGTACCCACACTATCTCCTCTGCCTGAAGAGCCCTTTCTGGATTTTTCTGTGTCTCACCAAACCCAGAAAATAAAGCCCAGCGAATGCTGAGTGCCAACTCCCTGCCAGGCCCTGTGTGAGCTCTTCTGCCTCCTTGGCTCATTCTACCCCCCCAGCCTCCTGTGAATTTGGTGCTGCTGTCCCCAGGCTAGAGATGGGAGTCACACTGCACAAGCTGTCAGCCTGGTCAGCCTGGGTGCCTCCCACAGCTGGGCCTTCCTGCTCCCTCACTCAGGAGCTTAATGCCTAGGGTTGATCTCCACATCTTAAGGACAGAGATGGATACCATCCTTCTTGGCTGCGAGAAGCCCTCAGTTCAGGCCTGGGCTAACATTCCGCCAGCTCAAAGTGGGGTCAAAGCTGGGGTGTGGGGCTCCAGCTGCGTCAGGGCAGTTTGAAGCCATAGATGCTTTTAGAAGGAGGGGGTCCTGGGAGCCATGAGGAGGGCAGTGGCTTCTGTGGGGAGGGGTCAGGAGCAGAGGCTCACACACACATCTAGACCCAGTCCTCAGGGGCCTGCGGCTGGCGGGGGAAGAGACGGCTGCAATTAGGGCCGTGTGGAGCTGTTAGTGGGAGAGTCTGGTGCCCACTCTGCGGTCACTTCCTTTGTTGATTTAATCAGGAGCTGAGCCATGAGGATGAGCAGCCGTGGACGAGGGTGGAGGGGCACAGAAAGGGGAGGAAACTCCAGACTGGGCAGTTTCCAGAACCATTTGGAAGTCCCTGAGCACACAATGGGCCTGGCATCCTAGAGACATGCTCTTATATGAGCTTCCCCACACACACCTCGTGTGGAAAGGGGTTTAGAAACATTTATATTCTCACGGGGTCACCATGGGTCGGAGTCGACTCAAAGGCAGCTGACAACAACAGCAACACTTCTGGTATAGTTGGCCATGTTCCAGAGGAGTCCAGCGGCTCAGGAAGGCTGCCCAGGGGCAGCGGGCGGCCTGGGATGTTGTCCAGGACAGAAGGGCCTGGGGAGAACAGCATTTCTGGAAAGAACATTCATTCTGCTTTTCCCCCACACGCCCAGGCTGGCCCTGAGACGAGCCAGGAGCCCCAGTCTCAGCAGCTGGGGGCCCACCTGCCCCTGAATGCCACACTCAGCCAACTGGAAATGTCTGCCAGCCGGACCCAAGTCTCTGTCACCTCCTCTACCAGTTCCTCCCTCAGCAGCCCAGGTAAGGAGTAGTCTGGGCTTGGGGGCGCTGAGGGGAGGGGCTCCACTGGTCTTCCGCACCCCGCGCCCACGACAGTCCCGCCTTTGCTCTCCAGGCCAGCGGGATGATCTCGTTGCCAGCATCCTCTCAGGTAGGAGGTGGGACTTGTGATGGGGCGGGGCTACTGAAGGAGGCGGGGCTGTTCCTGGGTGGGGCTGTTCTGCTGGGCTGCCCCCTACCGTGGCCTCCAGTTTGCCCACTACCCCAGCCCAGCGGTACCACAGCCCGCCTTTGCTGTGCTGCTCACAGAGGTGGCCCCGACCCCGCTGGATGAGCTCCGAGGCCACAAGGCGCTGGTGAAGCTTCGGAGCCGGCAGGAGCGAGACCTGCGGGAGCTGCTCAAGAAGCAGCAGCGGAAGGCGCTAGCCTTCTCCCGCCGTTTGCTCAACAACCTGGCGCAGGTCCGGGCCGAGGGCAGGAGCCGGCGCCGGTAGGTGGCCTTGGAACGTCCTGCCTGCCTGTGTGCGTGTGCCGATGGGAATGGTGGAGTGTGTGTGCACGCGGGGTTCTACACTGGGTGGGCATGGAGGGATGGCCAGGGGCTGCCCCTTGGCCCAGAGAGGGGGGTTTGGTACCAGGAGGAAAGAGGGGGCTTCCACATGGGTTCCCCAAGGAGTGACCTCTCTTTTGAGGCTCCCATCATTCAAGTGAGCCAAAGGGCCTCCTCACTGGTATGACAGACCCCCTGGGGCTGGTGTCTGTCATTGCCTGCTAGCATAGGCCTCACCCCCACTGCCCTCTCCCAGCCCAAGTCTGTGTGACAGACACAAGCATCACACAGCGGGGTCTTCCCACAGAGGGGGGTCTGCTGAGGAGGATAAAGATGAGCAGGAGGAGGTGAAACGGTACCAGGAGTTCCAGAAGAGGCAGATACAGAGTCTGCTGGAGCTGAGGGAGGCCCAGGTGGATGCGGAGGCTGATCGCAGGCTGGAGCATCTGAGACAGGTGTGGGGCATGTGGTGGCAAGAGCGAGCCTGCCCCCTGCATGGACCTCCCGGTAGCCCTGTGTCACCTCTCGGCCCCCTGTGTCCACAGGCTCAGCATCGGCTCAGGGAGGTTGTCCTTGAGGCACACATGACTCAGCTCAAGAGGCTGAAGGAGCTGAACGAGAGGTGAAGGCGGGGATCTTGTTGGTGGGGCCAGACTCCCTGGCACCAAGAGAAAGGCAGAGCCCTGGTTCTGCTCTTGACCCTTCCTCTCCCCAACCGACCCTTCCAGAGAGAAGAAGGATCTGCAGAAGATCCTGGACAGGAAACGCCATAACAGTATCTCAGAGGCCAAAACAAGGGAGAAATATAAGAAGGAGGTGTAAGGGCTTCGGGGCTGCAAGTCACTTGGGTGCTGGGGAGGCAGGGCTGGGTGTCCGGGCGCTGAGCCTATCCTGCCTTGTTCCTCTGCAGGGAACTGACAGAGATTAATCGTCGGCACATCACGGAGTCCGTCAACTCCATCCGCCGGGTGAGTAAGGCTCACGTGCCACCCCGCCCCACCCCTCTTCCTTCAGTCATCAGATACCCACCTCCTCGGTGCCTGGCCTGGTGCCATGGCGGACAAGACTCGGTGCCTGCCCTAGAGGGCTTCTAGAGCCTTTCCCCCTGGGCCCACAGCTCCGTCTTGCCCCATGTCATGTCTAAAGTCAACTGCAACAGGGCCCCAAGGCTTTGGCATCTTCAGGCCTGCCATGTTTGTGGCAAGGGCCATCTCAGAACCCTGACCCCACAGCCCTGGGATCCTTAGTCCACCTGACCTCTATGCCCAGCCAGAGCCCAGGGCCCTCAGCTGAGCCCTTGCCCACCCTGCAGCTGGAGGAGGCCCAGAAGCAGCGGCACGACTGCCTGGTGGCTGCGCAACAGCAGGTCCTACAGCAGCTGGCGGAAGAGGAGCCCAAGGTGAGGCCACGGGACAGGTGGGCAGGTGAGTGGTAGGCGGGTGGTGTGCTGGGCAGCCTGGCCTTGCCTGTGACACCGTCCTCCTCCTGCAGCTGCTGGCCCAGCTGGCCCAGGAGTGTCAGGAGCAGCGGGCGAGGCTGCCCCAGGAGATCCGCCAGAGCCTGCTGGGCGAGACACCGGAGGGGCTGGGGGACGGGCATCTGGTGGCCTGTGCCAGCAATGGTCACGCACCCGGGAGCAGCAGCCACCTGTCTGGCACTGACTCGGAGAACCAGGAGGAGAACACGAAGCTCTGAGCTGGCTGGGCAAGAGGTGGCCACAGGGCCAGGGTGGTTACGGGGTGGGGAGCCAGAGGAGACCAAGACACTAATGCTTTGTTAACTTTTTACCTTTGGAAATTTTATTTTTTTAAACCTGGGGCGAGTACCCCCCACTAGCTCCCTCCCTTCACCCTCCTGGCCCCCAGCAGTGCCGGTCCCCTCCTTCTTGCTCTCAGTCCCAGGAAAGGTGCTAGGTCACCCCAGCCAGAGGGACCTTGATTGGGGGTCTCGAGGGTCTCACCCTTCCCATAACACCCACACCCAGAGTGGGAGCGTCTTCCTCACCTCCCCAGAGAACACTGGGTGGGGACTTCGAGCTCTGGGAAGTAGAAGCCACTTTCTCTATTCTTTAGGGATTTTTTTTTACATGAATAAAAGTGGATTTCAGGGACCCCGTGTGCAGCGTGGTTTGGGGTGAGGCAGTGATGGAGAGGACTCTGGGGCCTAGGTCTGGCTCTGCCCCTTCCTTTGGGGAACAAATTGCCTAGAATCTGCAAATCTTTCTAATGACCCTCCTCACTCACATCCTAGGTTCTCTGGCCTCCTTCAGGCTTTCCCTGCCCCTCTGTCCCTGCTCCTGCTTTTACCCCTACCCCGTTACCTTCTCCCTCCTAGCCTGTTCCTGGCCTCCACAGAGGCTCAGGCCTCTGTTCCAGGAAGCCTTCCCTGCCCCCACCTTCCTGTTGCCTGATATGACCCAAGTGCCCAGCATCTTCCGTCAGGGCTGTTCTGGGCCCCACACAGGCTGCTTTTCTGTACTGGGGGATGGACCGACTATGGGGTAGATCTGGGCAGCTCAGAACCTGCCCAGCACCAGGGGACCCAGCCTTTCAGCTATAAGTGGGAAGTGGGCCTGATGGAGACCTGGGGCTAGGAGACCCAGCATCCTCCTCACCCCTGTGAGGGAGATGTTACGCCTGTTTTACAGGTGAGGAAACTGAGGCCCAGAGCGGAAGTCGTGTGTCCCAGACCACAGCTAAGTCAAGACGTCCTGACCTGGAGGTTCAGGGTGGGCCTGGCTCCTCCATGGTGGACAGCCCGAGGCCGACCTGGAGGACGAACAGCGTGGAATGGCAGAGACCTGCAGCGAGGGTGCGGCCAGGCTCTGCGGCAGGGTCAGGTTGGCCCTTCTTCAAGGCCTCTCCCAGCTTCCTGGCGCATCCGGGGCTGAGGCCTCCCTCCTCCAGAGGAAGGCAGTCTCTTATCTGGGCTTATCTCCTACGAATTGAGTGTTTGCTTTGCTTTGTTTTTGCCATAGCCTCAGACAAACAGATGGGGTGGGAGGCCAGAGAAAACAGGGTAGGGTCTTTCCGGGGCTGGGGATGCTCTGCCCCGGACCTTCCTCCCTCGGGGTCAGTATGATTGCCCAGACCCTGCCTCTGCCATCAGGCCTTGTTCAATCCCCAAATCTGCCCCCTCTCTCTTCCGTGTCTAGGCCCCTCAGCACCCTCAGGTCCCCCTGAGCAGCCAACTCCCATCCTCTGGACTCTTCTCGCCTCCACTTACAGAAATACTACCTGATCCCACGTCAGTGCCAGGTCTTCAAAGACCAGGCTAAAGTCTAAACTGGGTGTGACAGTCAAGCCCCTCAGAAGCCCGGGCCTTGCTTCGACCTGTCCTACTTTATCTCATCTCTGTCTTCAAAGCCTCAGCTCTATCTTACCTCCTCCCTGAAGCCCTCTGTGACTGCCGGCCCATTAGGGCGCTCAGCTGGCGGCAGCACCCCTCTGAGAGGATGGCTTTCCCCTAGGTAGGAAGCACCAGTTGTGGGGGCTGTGGCGGCATCATCTGTGTACCCGGTAAAAGCACTGGCTTGGTCTACAGGGGGCGCCAATAAATCCTTCTGTAATTGTGTTCAGAGCTCTGGTCCCAGATCCTCGTGAAGCTCCTCTCCAGTCCCCTAATGACCACTCGCAGCCTGGCCGAGCCTTCCACCCTCCTTGACCCCGCCCGTCCCGCTGTTCCCTGAGCGGCACTGGCCCTGCGCCCGCCACACAGTAGCTGCTCCCAAGGACTGACCCAAATAGGAACAAATGACCCTCCCTGGGGGGCCGCGGCACGGTTTGCAGAGTGCGGAATTCCAGCGGCCAGCCGGGCTGCGGATCCCAATTACCATAGAGACGGGCCTGGAAGCCACTGGGGCCCGACCTCGCTCCTCCCTGCAGCCTGGGAGCCTTGGCTCGGCCTGCCCCGCCTCGGGCCCCCTGGTCTCTGTCCCTGGAGAAGCTGCTTAAAAAGATTCTGTATCCCCTACGTGTAAAGCGGGGGCGTCTCTTGGTGCTCTACTAGTGTTAGCACTAGCCCTCCCGGAAAACCCACAGCAACGGACAGAGGACACTTGGCGGCAAAGACACGGGCTTTATTAGCACAGTGAGTTGCGAGCACAGACCCGCTGTGTTACCCGGGAGTAAACGGTTCTTGCGCAGTAACGGTTAATTCTGGCTCGCAACTTGTCGCAGGCGCCTGGGGGGCAGGAAGCGCCGGAGGGCGGGGCTAGATAGCCGCTTGAACTTCCGATGGGGCCGAACCCTCGGTGGCCCCAGTTCGCACCGGAAGGGAATCGGTCTCTGGCTCAGACCGGCTCCCTGCTAACGGGATAGAACGGATCCTCTTTTTGCTTAAGGCCTGCGGAAGACTTCCGCCCACACCCAAGATGGCCACCGGCGGCGGCGGGAGTGGGCGGGGTTTCAGGAACGTGGGACGGAAGGTCATTGAGAGGGGGCGGAGCCACCTCTCCCCAAATTCCGATCCCACCAGGACTGGATGATGCGTGTCCAGCTGGGGCTTTGCCGCATCTGCGTTGCTGTGCCCGCGCTCTTCGGGCGAGGAAGTCCCTTCGGAGTGGGGGAGGGAAGGGTTAAAAGAGTTAGCTCACCCGGGTGGCAGCTTCCGGAATCCGACCTCTGCGTGAGCTCCCGGGGGAAACCATGGAGCCCTCAGCTCCCAGCACACCCTATGCTGAATGGTCGGGAGCGCAAAGGGAACGCTGGGCCCTTAGGAATCGGTACTAGCACTATAAAAAAAAAAAAAAAAAAACCCAAACCCGTTGCCGCTGAGTCGATTCGGCCTCATAGCGATCCTACAGGACAGAGTAGAACTGCCCCGTGGGGTTTCCAAGGAGTGGCTAGTGGATTCGAACTGCTGACCTTTTGGGTAGCAGCCGGGCTCTTAACCAATGCGCCACCAGGGCTCCACTAGCACTACAGATCCCAGAAACTCCATGCCGGGGGCGGGGCGGGGCTGAGATGGGGCACTTGTCCCAGGGCGCAAGTCCAAGGGGGCGCCAGACGAGGCACAGAACGACATGCAGAGACGCCAGAAATATGAAAGGCGCCTGGCGTGACCGAGGCGGCCAGAAAAGAGGGGGGAAGGCGTTTCTGCTGAATCCTCACTGCTATCAACATCTATTCATCTTGAAATGGGGGGGGGGGTGCAATTTAGAGATTGCCCCTGGATGCCCTACCCTCGCTATGTCCCAGGGCAAGGGATGCCTAGGACCCTATATGGCAGCTCCAGAGCTGCAGATCTAGCACCTGGAAGATGGGACCGCAACTCGAGAGTTAAAGAAGTGGCCTAGAAGCTGGGGCCGAAGGACCGGAAAACTGAAAGGGGCTGACCAGAAGCATAGATCCCAGCATGCCTCATGCCTGAAGGATTTGGGGAACCCTGGAGATTTGAAGGAAAGATGGGTGGGGGGAGGTTTGGCTGCCGGGAGAGGGGTGTGGAACCTAAAGGGTTCCGGGAAAGGGCCAGGGTGTGTGTGAGGGTGAAGGGGGTCTGGGAAGGGACCAGCCGGAGGGGGCGGGAAGAGGGGTGAGAACTGTAGATCCCAGCATGCTCTGGGACTCAGGAAGGGACTCAGTGAGAGAGGGTATAGAAACTGGCGTCACTAGGGTTGGTGTCACCCCCCCCACCTCCTTCCTTACCAGACCGTATAGAATCCTTAGTAATGTTTTTTGTTCTGTTAACTTGTAAATAGTAATTCCCGCGTATCACTTCTCCTTTTCCTTTTATTACTACTTCATTCTCAAAAAAGTTATTGATATAGGTTCACAAATACTAATTGCTACAATATTGTAGCTAAAACATCAGAAAATTTGACAAAATCAGCGACTATAAAAACCACCAGCAGCATAGCCCATGCAGACATGATTTAAAGTAGCACTGTAACTGGGTAATAATGACAGCTCTGACCAAAGGGCATTAGAAAGTTCAAAAAGTAAATTAGCATAGAGTTTTAGCCTTGTAGGTAAATTGATACACGTAAGCTAGGCTTATGAAAAGTGGTTTAGTTGTTTAACTACAGGGATATTTTTATAAAAACATAATAAATTTCTGCTGAAACACTGCACAAAAATTTTATGGACAGTCATTTTGGTGTCACCCCCTCTGACAGTGTCACACAGTACGGTCTGCATCCCGCACCCACCTAATGACACCATTGTGTGGGAATACAGGGCCTGCACCCTGGGGCCAACGCTCACCTTGAAAGAGCCCTCGAACTCATCACTCATCCTGCGGAGCTCACGGCCATATCGCTGTGCAGCCCAGAGGTTGGGCGGCGCCGAGAGTGAGCGGCCCCGAAAGGGGCTGGGCTCGTCCTCCAGCCCCTCACCCTCCTCGGAACCCACGGGGTATGAGCTGTGGCGACTCCGGGTCTCCACAGTGTCAGCGCCTGCAAAAAGGGTCATGGGGTGGGGACGACGTGAATCTCAACTCCTCTGCACCCCTAGCCCTACCACAACCCTCAGCATTAGCACTGCCGACCTGGTACCATCTGTGCATATCACAGTCTCCCTCAGAGCTCTAGTCCCCTCACTTGCAAATCCAGGGTAATAGTAGCTAGCTCTTGGGGCTTCTGTGAAGATTGGCATCCACTTCTCATTAATCCTCCACGTTTACTGAGCTCCAATAATGGGCGAGGCCCTAGGGTGGGTATAACAGGAACTTCCTCTGTTGTGCGCTATTGAGTCACCCCTATAGGTGACGCAGCTGGGATCCAAACCCAGCCATTTGGGTCCCAGAGGCTGTATGCGTAACATTTACACCCCAGGCTCCCCCCAGCTTAGTGTGGGCCACGTTGGGGCCGAGGGTGGGGAAGGGCCCCCTGGGATTTCTGCCAGAAGCCTGCCCTGTTGGGTAGAAGGATTCTCCCTAAGGCCATGAATTTAGCAATGCCAAGCCATGATACCTATTATGTAAAATGAATTTTTGAAGTGTCCTTCTATTTACTGGAAAAAAACCTGGGTGATTTCCTGTGAACTCCGTGGGGAAAGGGGGGCCTTGGGCCCCTGAGCAGAGTCATGCCTGCCCTGAACCAGCCCACCCTGGACCAGCTCTCACCCCTACACCCCCTGTAATGGGGCAGAGGCAATCTTTTTCCCCTTGCCTTTCACCTTCTCTGGGGAGAGAAGGGGTGTGGCTCCATTCTGGGTGTGAGCCTGGGTGGGTGCCCAGGCCTGCATGCTTAAGCTACCCTCCCTAGAGCCTGGCTAGAGTGTGGTGTGGGAGTGGGCGGGGTCTATGGCTGGCAGTGCCGCAGCCCCCAGCAAAGCACCTCCGGTTTTCAGTTCTTTACCCTTTGGGTTTCTGCCTAAGTAGGTGAGGCTGAGCACATCCACGGTCACCCTTCCATAAGCATCCTTATACACTTAATTAAAACTGGTGTTCTAGAAAATTCAAGGCAGTGAAACAGCACCATCAGGCAGGGTGGGGTTCAGATCTTGGTTGTACCATTTATGTGGGGCTATGTAAACGAGGTGCTTGTGGCCCACCAAGGGGATTGGATAGCTTGCTAGTATCGCAAATAAGGTGCACGGCACCTTTGTGGTGGTGTAACCATGCAAATAAGGTGTATGGAACCCTAAAGAGGGGATTGGTTACTTTTGCCATCCCACTAGGCCAAGAGAGCCAATCCCTGAGCAGAGGGGGACCTGACTACCACTAAGCAGAAGACACAGGAGTGGAGCGCATCCTTTGGACTTGGGATCCCAGTGCTGAGACCCTCCTAGACCCAGGAGATAAGAGAGAGAGAGAGCTGTAACCCTGGAGATGGTGAGACAGTGAGAAGCAGTGGCAGAAAAATGGCGGCAGTAGAGGCAGCAGAACCAGGAGACTGGCAGGAGACAGTGCAGTGAGCCTCCCGGCCCACGGACCAAGAGAGCGGAGCACCTTTGGGCAGAGGCTTGCTGGTGAAGTGGGATGTCTCTGGGCACTTATTGGCAGAGCTGAAGAGCTTTGTAACACTTGCCGGAGCAGGACACAAGCTGGGCCGAGGGGCCAACGGCCAGAGAGAGCCCTGCCTGCAGCATAGCTGAGAAGAGCCTCTCCTGATTGAAGAACTGTATCCTGAGCATTCCTGAACCTGAATTGCAACCTGTTACTTCCCTAATAAACCCCATAATCGTGAGTATTGTCTGTGAGTTCTGTGTGGCCATTGCAAGGAATTATTGAACCCAGCAGAGAAGTAGAGCGTGTCCTGGGAGGGAGAGCTGGTGTCAGAACTGGTAAAAAGGTTGGAGAGAAGAGGTATGTCTGACCTCTGCCTCATAAGAATCAGCCTTGGGCTCCTGATGCTGATAGTGATTCTCTCTCCCTCCTGAAGTTAGAGGAGGTCAGACGCCTATACCATGCCATTTTTACACCGACAAAACGTGTACACATGCACACACACGCACACCCATGGACACGCATGCACTGTACCCCCCCTCGGGAGGCAGAGCACCATGAGACCTATGCCACGGGCCCCACCCTGAGCAGGCACTCCACTGCCCGTCAGGGCCACCTCAGCAGGCCTGGCCTCCACTCCTGGGTTTTCTAAAACCATCTGAAGTACAAAATTCCCTCAGTCCATGGGCCTGCAAAGGACATGTCCCACTTTGCAGGGAGCTGGTGACATCAGAAGACATCTAAAACTGGGGTTGGTTTTGCGGGCCATTTCGTCTCTGTTGTAATGACTCAACTCTGTGGCTGTAGCATGAAAGCAGCCACAGACCATATACGTATGAATGAACACGGCTGTGTTCCAGTAAACTTTACTTATGGACACTGAAATTTGAAGTTCATATCATTTTCATGTGTCACATGATATTAGTTTTCTTTTGATTTTTTTTCAACCATTTAAAAATGTAAAAAAAAAGGAAAAACCATTCCAAGCTCAAGCTTGTAAGCTATATAAAAACAGAGCGATTTAGGCCAACCCTTGCTCTAAAACCCCACCATGTCTGTCCTTTGCTTAAAACCTTGAATGACTCCCCAGTGCCTATATGATTAAGTCCAAATTCTTTAGTGTGGCCTTGGAGTAGTTCTCATCTATACTTCATTTGTCTGCCACTGGGAGGCGTTAGTTATTCATGTCTCTGTCCCCAGTGCTTTTGGTATACTATAGGTGCTCAATAAATGTGCTGCATGAATGGCAATCTCTGGGAGCTGAGAGTGAGCTCACCCCCAGGTCTGCTTGGAGCCAGGGTCAACTCACAGTTAACAGTAATAATAATAATAATAATAATCAGAGTAATAAGAATAGTAGGAGTCCTTGGGTGGTGCAAATGGTTAACTTGCTTGGCTGCTAGCCAAAAGGTTGGCAGTTTGAGTCTATCCAGAGGCCCCTTGGAAGAAAGGCCTGGTGATCTACTCCTGAAAAATCAGCCCTATGGAGCACAGTTCTACTCTGACACACATGGGGTTGCCATGAGTCATTAATCCAAAGGACTAATGGACCACATGAACCACAGCATATAGGACCCCGAGACCAGAAGAACTAGATAGTGCCCAGCTACCACTAGTGATTGCTCTGACTGGGATCACAACAGAGGATCCTGGACAGAGCGGGGGGAAAATGTAGAACAAAAAATCAAATTCACAAAAAAGACCAGACTTACTGGTCTGACAGAGACTGGAGGAACTCCCGAGACTATGGCCCTAAGACACCCTTCTGACCTGGAACTGAAGCCATTTCCAGAGACCATCTTTCAGCCAAACAATAGACAGGCCGATAAAATAAACAATAACACCGGAGAGGAACGTGTTCCTTAGAACAATGAATTATACAATATACGAGATCAAAAGGACAACATTTGCCCAAAGGCAAAGATGTGAAGGCAGGAAGGGGTAGAAAATCTGGACTAAAGGAAACAAGGAACCCAGGGCGGAAATGGGGAGAGTGCTGACACGTTGTGGACAATGCAACCGATGTTATGGAACACTTTATGCACAAACTATCAAACGGGAAACTAATTTGCTCAGTAAACTTTCACCTACCTAAAGCACAATTAAAAAAAAAAAAAAAAGAACCTACTGGACAGCAACTGGTCTTGGCTAATAAGAAAAGCAAACACACAGCAAGCAATTCCTATGTTCAGGCACTATTCTAAGCACTTTTCCTGTATTAATTCATCAGATCCTCTTTACAACCCAATGAGGTAGGTCTAGTTCTATTCCCATTTTATAGATAAGGAAACTGAGGCAGAGCGAGTTAACTAACCTGCTCAAGCTCAGCCGCCTAATAAACAGGAAAGCTGTGGTTGAACCCTGGCAGTCTGGCCCAGAGTCGGATGCCGGGCTGCTTCTCCCACTGCGTGTTCTTCCTTCCTTCTTGTTCCGTATGTTTCTATGATGATTTCAAATCCCATAAAGTGTAAGTCACTATTATGCTTTCAAAATACATACATATAAGCACTCAAAATATGAGCTTAAAAATAGAAATATGTATTCCTTTGTGAGACTCTCTAACTTTTAAGTCATTATGTAACCTGCAAGTCATAAGAAAGTTATTTAGAAAATTTCTGAACTTAAACCTTGAAACATAGGAGCATGTGAAGTATGTAAAAAACATACACAACCTTTAAGTTCACTTTGACCTGACTTGCTGTGATGAAAAAGACATAGTTAATCTTTGTAAACCAGCAATGAAACATAAATCTAAGCAACCTCTCTAATCTCTAACCTTGAAGAGAATATGCAGAATATGCATCATTTGGCTACTCTCTAACCCTGGAGAAAAGACATACTACTACTACTCTTTGATGTCACACTGGCCTTTGTTGTGTGTAGCCAAGGTGACAAATTCACATATAAACCCTAAATTTCTGCTCACTCACTGAGAGAAGGCAGAGATGGAACTGAGATTCCGTCCTCCGCTGCTGACATTGGACCCCCCAAGCTATGAGGGACCTCCGCTGGATGACTTTGGACCTGAGCTATGCGGGACCTCTGCTGAGTTTGAGCTGTGGTTAAACCTTCCTCCCAAGACCTCTTGTTAAAGGTAAAAGCCTGAAGTCTAAAGATTTGGACTCTAACCACTGAACAATGTTGTAACTGTTAATTCTGATTCTCCTGTTCTAAGTGAATGTTGTGATGTCTGACTTGCGTGCCTTGCCATGACTACCTGGTAGTAAACTAAACTTGAGTTTATGCATGTCAGACCTGAGTATCTCTCTATTAATTCTCTAAGATTTCTAAAATCCTACACAACACTTCCTTCACCACCCACACACCCACTGGGGCTCACCATGCACCCAGCCCATTCCAGGCACTGGACTGCGCGCTGGAGTTATAAGAGCGCACAAGGCGGCCTGGTCCCTGCCCTGGGGACACAGGGGCCAGGCAGGAAATGTGAAGAGAGACCACTGAGTGTGAGCTGAGAGGAGGCAGCGGCCACATGGCTCTGGCAGGTCATATGGCACTTACGGGATTTTTTATGGGAAATCACTACGACATTAAAAACTACATTAAAAGTTTAAGGATCCTGTGCAGTCTTCTCAGATGGTGGCAGTTTTCTCCCCAGCAGCCCTCCTTAGGCCAGGTCTGGAGCTGGGGTGGTCCCCTGGCCCCTTATTCCTATTTCAGACTGTTCTCCACCTGTGTCACCCCTCCCCCTCCATGGCCTGTGTGTCCTCCACCTGAAGGTCACACCCCACATTTCTGCTTGATGTGGCTCCCCCTCTCTACCACTCTCTCCATCACCACTCCCGTCCTAAGTAATCCATGGAGGTTTCAGGGTACCGGTAAGCAGTCCTTCCCACCTCCTAGCCTTGCTTCCTCCTCCCATAATCTCGGCCCCCAGACTCTCATTCCCACGGGCATAGCCTAGACCTCATCACTGCCGATAACAGCAGCCCTGTCATCTCCATCCCAAGCCTCCCACCGACTGCCACCTACCTGTCCAGCTCTCTCCCTCTGGGGCTTGGCTCCAATGACGCTGCTGCTGCAGTGACCCCAGAGGGGCTTGCCCCCTATTGGCAGTCAGTCAGTCGTTTTTGCCCCTCCCTTGCACACATCCTCAACCCCTTGTTGGGACAAACACAGCCCTGGTTAACTCCGCCTCCCTGCCAGCTCCCTGAGAGAGCTCAGCTAGCCGCCTGCTCTCACTTTAAATTCTCCGCCATAAAGCCCAGTTGTGCCCTCCACATTGCCCTCCACGCCTCCCATGTTTCAAACCTGCTCCTCTCTCCCCGCAGCCCCACCCCTCCTCTTGATTCTCAGGGCTGATGAGCTGGCTTTCCTACATGGAGAAGTGAGAGGCTCCCACAAGAGAAATTTCTCCCAGTTCCCAGGCTGCATCCACACCCCGCTGCCCCTCGCAGGGCCGCTGCCTCACCCCCTCTAACAGAGGAGTTGCCTTGCCAGCCCCCTCCTCTCCTTGGGCACCAGGCCTGCCCTGCTCTCCTGAATCACCCCTGCACCACGGCCCCACTGCCGTCAGGTGCCGCTCCTCTCCCCACCAAATGGCCCCAGGTTGTGGCCTCCGCTGACAACTCTCAGTCCTTACTGAGGAGCGAGCCAACCTCCCGGGAGCGTCCTACCCAGTCCACCGCCCACATGGCGTCCACCACCATGCAGAGGCCAGCGTACATCCCTCTCCTGGTTTTCCGCCCACCTCACTACCCCCTCCTTCTCAGTGTCCCTGGTGGTTCCTCCTCCTCACACCTGCTTAAGGTTGGAGTGCAGCCCGGCCCTCCGCCCTCTCTAACTATCCCCTCCCTTGGTGCTCTGTCCCCACCCTTGGTGAAAGACTGACCACTCCCCACTTATAAATGCTGCCTGGGCCTTTCCCCTGCTGGAAACTCCCACCTGGAGGGCTAACAGGCACTCTAACCTCACATGGCCCCAGATGGGCTCCCCATCTGCCCCCCACGCCCAAGGCTCCGTCTCAGTTAAGGGAAACTCCGTCCTTTTGGTTGCACAGGCCAAGCTCCCTGGAGACATCCTTGACTCGGTTCTTTCTAGTCCAGTCTGTCAGCAAATCCAGACAGCTCCACCTTCACAGTCAGTCCAGCCCCTTCTCACTACCTCCACTGCCACCTCCCTGGCCCAAGTCACCATCTTCTCCTGCTTGGATTATTGCAATACCCTTCCCTCCGGCCTCCGCTTCTGCTTTTGCCCATTACAGACCAGCCTCAATATGGCAAGTCCCCTTTGCTCTCAGCTCTCCAATGTTTCCACTCAGAGTATATGCCACAGCCCTTACAATGGCCTTTAAGGCCCTGCCCAGGCTGCCTGTTCCCCTCGTTAACTTTGACCCCATCTCCAACTATTCTTCCCTGCACTCTCTCCTCTCTGGCCTCACTAGCCTGGACCACGACTTGCCTACGGGGCCTTTGCCTGGTACTCTCTTCCCACAGACACTTGCGCGGCTCACCCACATCCCCTTCAGGGTTTTGCTCAAATGTTGCTTCTTACCAGGGCCGACCCTGACCCTGACCCTGACCACCTCAGTTAAAATCGCCCGGCCAGTACTCAGGACTCACTTGACTGTTTTTATGCACGCCCCTTCCCCCACGCACGCATCATCTTCCAAGGCACTACATTATTTCCTTGTTTGCTTGGTCGTTTATGGCCTGTCTCCTCCACCCTCCTAGAATGTAAGCTCCGTAAGGGCCAAGATTTTTCTCTCTGTGGTCACTGATGAGGGAGCCCTGGCGGCGCAGTGGTTAAGCACCAGGCTGCTAACCGAAAGGTGGGCCGTTCGAACCCACCAGCCATTCCGCGGGAGAAAGATGTGGCAATTTGCTTCTGTAAAGACTTACAGCCTTGGAAACCCTGTGGGGCAGTTCTACCCTGTCCTGTAGGGTCACTAAGAATCAGAATCGAGTTGATGGCAATGGGTTTTTGGTCACTGATGTGCTCCCAGCAACTGGGACAACGCGTGGCACTTGATCAAAGGAGGAAGAGAGGACTGAGCGGGTCCCAAGGAGGGGTGGGTACATGTTGTTAGTTGCCTGGGAGTCAATTCTGACTCACGGTGACCCCATGTGTGTCCGAGTAGAACTACTCCATGAGGTTTTAAGGCTGTGATCTTTCAGAAGCAGATGGTCAGGACAATCTTTCGGCTAGCAGTCGAGTGCTTAACCGTTTGCACCACCCAGGAACTCATATTAAGTACTGAATAAACGGAGGAAGAGAATGATGAGGGAGCTCAAAGGTGGGGGAGGAAGAGCCAGGTTGGGTGTGGAAAACAGTCGAGAGCAGAGAAAGCAGCTTGAGAAAGCCCTGGAATTCAGCCTGACAGGACAGACTGCATGGGGGCGGGGAGGGGAAGGCCGCTCAAGCCTTCTTGCTCCTGAAGAAAACGGGAGTTATTTAAGCTTTCGTGGGCAAGTGACGTGGTCTGGTTTGTGTTTTCAGAAGGTCTCTGCAATTGTCCCAGGTGCCAAGGCCTGTGCCAGGCACTGGGCAGGTGGAGACTACAGAGAAATGGCCACTGCCCACCAATGTCCTTCCACCTGCGCTGGGCCTAAGTAGGTGGGAAGGACAGCTGACAGCCTGTGCTAGAGGGCAGGCAGCTGTTTCCCGCAACTTCCCCACACACCCTCACATGGCCGCTGTTTGGGAGGGCTGTCTGCCACTTGGGCTCACCTGCCCCTGGCAACTGTGCAAAAATAGTCCAGTCCCAGGGAAAGTACACAGCCTGTGGCAGGATGTAGCTTGGTCAGGGCACCAAGGATCCTTCCACACACACACCCCCCGCCCCCCCCCACCCCATCTTCTACCAAAGGAACTGCAAGTGTGACCTTAGGCAAGGTACTTCCCCTTTCTTGCTCTCAGCTGGGTCCTGAGTGTTTTCTGAGTTCCCTTTTTTTGAGCATCTCCTGTGTGCCAGCATATGATAAAGTGCTTCTTATATATCGCTGCTAATCGTCCCGACATCCCTACAACAGTGATGGTTCATTGCTTTGTTTGCAGAAGAGGAACCTGAGGCTCAGAGAGGTTACAGACTCACCCAAAGTGAGTCACTGAGTGTGGATGTGGCCGGCGTGCAGAGAGTTAACTGGGCAGGTGCTGACACTGGGGGGTGCCTACCTCCATGGTGGCTGCTGCTGGTCGGCTGTCCCTGCTGGTGACTGGCATCCCCCAGGGGGCCTGGGGACGCGTGGTGGCGGTTTCTGGGGCCTGAGGGCCGGCCCCTTTTGGGGCTGGGGCCCAGGCACCTATGTGCAGGACTGGAGTCTTCCCGGTCACTCTGCTCAAACTCTGGGATCTGGAACATACTCTGGGCTGTGGGGACAAGACGGTGGATGGTTAGGGCACGGCTGGAGCAAACGAGGGCTTGTAGGGGTACAGTTCAGGCATCCCCGGCTCCCTCTCTGCCCTTAGAGTCCCTAGGCCCACCCTGCCTTCCAAACTCATCTGTCGGCCCAGACTGGCTCTGCCGCGCGCTCAGTCTGTCCACCTGGGACCTAAATCTCCCCTCGGAGCACTGGTGCTGTGGGGCAGCCCCTGATCCCCACCCAGGCCGTCTCTCCTGGGGTGACGGAACACAGGTCTCACCCCAAGCCCGAGCTCGAGGCCCCCGTGACCCGGGCCTGCAGTCTCCCTCCAGCACTGAGGGTGATCTGCCCTAGTTGCTTGGGCAACGGGAACTGTCACCGGCCTGGCCCAATCAGCTCGTGAAATGTCACCTGGGCTGGCCCGGAGGCAGGCGGGCCCACTCCGGGCCGGCCCCGCCCCGCCGCCTAACCTGCTCCTCTCCCGCCGCCCCCCTCCTGCTTCCGGATGTTCAGCTCCCAACGTCCTCTCACGCCTTGGGCGTGTGTGGAAGCCGGGGAGGGGCTCTCTGCGGTCCTCCATTTGGAGGCTGGAGACCTGGTTCTGCTGATAAGCCCTTCAGCCCCTCCGGGCCTTAGCTTCCACCCTTATAAAATGGGGATAATGACACCTCACTCTGGAGCCAGTGAAAACTTTGTAAACAGAGTGGTGATTACTGTGGCTGAAATCACTTTGCAAAGTCGCAATTGACATTCAGAACTCGGAGGCAATTACTGTTGCTGTTGTTCGGTTCTGGAGTGGTGATGGGGTCGGGAAATCCCGCTCCCTCCTCTTCCCCAGCATGGAAACCGTGCTGCCCGCAGCTGAGCGCCACTCCCCGCGCCATCTCTGCAGCGTCCGAGATAAGAGAGGGAGCCTCCTCCTTGGCAGGATGACTGCCCGGGCGCAAGAGAAGGCACAGGTTCCCCTGTGAAGGTGACCCATAGGACTCGCGAAGGCTTCGCGCCTGGCAGGCGGCCGGCCAGGTGGGCGGGAATTACTGCGGCCGACCAGCTCATGGGGCCAGCTGCCCTGCGGGGGCTCCGGGATACTGCGGTTTAAGGCCCGCGGAGGGGACAGGGAAGGGAGGGGGGGAGGGGGCGGAGGCCATCTTGGCTATGGGCGGAAGTTTCCTTCAGAGACGAAGTGAGGGGAAGTCGTTGCCGCCCCCGGGAGGGCGGCACGATCCAAATTTGGGGATAGAGGGGAGAAGCATGGGAGCTGTCGGCCCCCTAAACCAGCAAGGGCCAGTGGCCCAGGCCACGGCCGACCCAAGCGCCAGCCCGATGCGGCGCGGCTCCCGCGTAGCGGCCGGCCGCCGCCACCCGTAACCCTGGAGCCCGCTGGCGGCGCAGCTCGCGCCAATTCTCGAACCGCCCCACGCCGGGCACGGCGCGGCACGGGGCTGCGGAGCCGACGTCGGCCCCTGCGCAATTTGCGTAGGGAACGGCGCCCGCGCAGGCGCAGAAGGGGGCGGAGCAGCGGGAGCCTGGGAGCCGGAGCTTCGGGTCCTGGCGACCGGAGCCGGCTCCCTAGCGGCGGTCTGAGGACCAGGCAGCGGCCTTCTCCCGCCCCCCGCGGCTGGAGAGGGACGCGGTGGGGGGTGGGGTGGGGGGAGCATTTGGAATCCCGAGGAGAGAAGGCAGAGGCGCCCCCATTCGGATTATTGGAGGGGAAAGAGCCCTGCTAGCCTGAGGAGGGGGAGAGCGGGGTGTTGGGGCGCCCCCTGCAGGGGCCGCTGCCCTCAGCGGACGCGCGTCGCCGGCTCTCCCCCTCCTGCTGACACCGGCACGAGCGACCAAGGCCAGGGACCCCTCTCCTTCAGCCTCTGCGCCCACCCAGCTGGCTCTGAGGGCGGCCCAGGGAAGAGACCCCCGTCCACCCTGGAGAGGAGAGACTGTCCTTCCACGCCCCTGAGTGAGGGGGCCAGGGCCCAAGCTGCCTGTGCCCCGCAAAGACGAGGATCCCTCTGGTGAGGGGAAGGACCTGGCCAGCCACAACGTCTTGCCCCCTGAGCTCCCACGTCTCTGTCTCAGCACCCGCAGTCCCCTCCCCTCCGTATTTATTCCCCTGGACTCCGGCCAGCTCCTCCATCTCTGTCTCCTCCGGGATTCAGGCCTCCCTCCCTGACATGGAGAGTAACCTGTCTGGCCTGGTGCCTGCTGCTGGGCTGGTGCCCGCGCTGCCGCCCGCCGTGACCCTGGGGCTGACCGCCGCCTACACCACCCTGTATGCCCTGCTCTTCTTCTCCGTCTATGCCCAGCTCTGGCTGGTGCTCCTGTACGGGCACAAGCGGCTCAGCTACCAGACGGTGTTCCTGGCACTGTGTTTGCTCTGGGCTGCGCTGCGTACCACCCTCTTCTCCTTCTACTTCCGAGACACCCCCAGAGCCAACCGCCTGGGGCCCTTGCCCTTTTGGCTTCTCTACTGCTGCCCTGTCTGCCTGCAGTTCTTCACGCTGACGCTAATGAACCTCTACTTTGCCCAGGTAACCGTGGTAGTGGGTGGGGGTGGGTGGGGGGTGGCAAGCCCCAAAGGCCACAATCAGTGATGGGCATCTCTGCTCTCAGGTGGTGTTCAAGGCCAAGGCGAAGCGTCGGCCTGAGATGAGTCGAGGCTTGTAAGTACTTGGGGCCCTGGTGGGCTCTGCCCCCAGGCCTGGGGCAAGGAACAGCCCACCGTCCATCCTTTCCCACCTCGAAGGGCTGAGGCGAGGGCAACCCAGGGAATGTTTGTGGAAGAGCTTGTTGTGGTTAACTGCTGTCTCGTCAGCCCGACTTATGGTGACCCCAGTCTTGAGACGCTGCCTGATCCTGTGCCATCCCCACTGGAAAAGTTAAAGCACCTGACACAGATGGCTCAGCAGAGGCGTTGTGTATGTGAAAGGCAACAATAATAGAAGCAGTTGTGATACTGCGAGGGGAGAGGGTACCAATGTCATCCATGATGGAGGATGCTCCAGAACCAGACTGCACCCCTGGGTGACCTGGGGCTGTTGTCCCCCATCATTCGTATGAAGTCTTACCGTTTATAAAGAGCTTTCACAAACACCTTTATTTATTACTACTAACCTGTAAGATCAGTATTATCCCCATTTGAGAGATGAAGGAACTGAGGCTCAGCAAGGTAAAAGAACACGGCAGAAGGCAAAGCCAGGATTCAGACCCAGATCTCTTGACTCCCAATGTTGTGCTCTCTCCACTGTATTACAACTGTCAGTCACCTCCTGACTTCTTTGGGCCTCAGTTTCCCCACCTGTAAAATTGGAGGAACAGGGTTCAGGCTGGAAGGTCTGGGGTCCTGATCAGCTCTGGGGGCTCCTTTGGGAGGTTGGGTGAGTGGTGAGCACCAAGTGCGACCTTCTGGGCTGACTCTGCTGTGGGCTGCAGGCTGGCTGTCCGAGGGGCCTTTGTGGGGGCCTCGCTGCTCTTCCTGCTGGTGAACGTGCTGTGTGCTGTGTTGTCCCGCCGGCGCCGGGCACAGCCCTGGGCCCTACTCCTGGTGCGCATCCTGGTGAGCGACTCCCTTTTTGTCATCTGTGCACTCTCTCTGGCCGCCTGCCTCTGCCTCGTTGCCCGGCGAGCCCCCTCCACCAGCATCTACTTGGAGGCCAAGGTAGGGCCACAGGCCTCTGATGCCCAGGTGTGCTTTGGGGTGTCTGGGCAGCCATGTTTGTTGGACAGTAGTCTTCAGGGTAAAGAGGAGGCTGGAAGCTGCCCCTCCCTGATGGTCCCCTGTTGTCATCTGTGCCAGGGGACCAGCGTGTGCCAGGCGGCTGCAATGGGTGGCGCCATGGTCCTGCTGTATGCCAGCCGGGCCTGTTACAACCTGGCGGCCCTGGCCTTGGCCCCCCGGGGCCGGCTGGATGCCTTCGATTATGACTGGTACAACGTCTCTGACCAGGTGGGCATTCGGCAAGTCTACTGCCTCCTTATAGCTGTGGTTCCTGGCCCCTGTCCCAGTGCCCCGTTGGCACGAATGCAGACTGGCATGAGCCCCTGCCTTCCCACAGGCGGACCTGGTGAATGACCTGGGGAACAAAGGCTACCTGGTATTTGGCCTCATTCTCTTTGTGTGGGAGCTGCTGCCCACCACCCTGCTGGTGGGCTTCTTCCGGGTGCACCGGCCCCCACAGGACCTGGTGAGGGCCTCCACCTTCCTCTGTGGGCCCAGTGAGAGGGGTGGACACTGGGAATCCTTGAGCTGGGCCGGGGGGTGGTATGGGAGGTTGGTGGGGGCCGAGAGAAAGCATCCATGGTGGCTTCCTCCCCCAAGAGCACCAGCCGCATCCTCAACGGGCAGGTCTTTGGCTCCCGATCCTACTTCTTCGACCGGGCCGGGCACTGTGAGGATGAGGGCTGCTCCTGGGAGCACAGCCGGGGTGAGAGTACCAGGTAGGTGGTCCCCACCCTGCCTCAGGCCCCCTGAGCCATGGGGGATCCAGACCCAGGTCTTGCCCCCGCCCCAGGCCTTTGTTTCCCTCTCTGTATGAAGTGAGGCACCCTCCTCCCCATCTCCCCGCACTCCATCCCAAGATGCAGTCGGCCAGCATCTAGAGGGCTCAGGCCCTGGCCCTGGAGGTCTGGGGAGGGCAGCCCCTCCTAGCATGCTCTGTTCTAAGCCCCTTTCCCTCACCCACCTCTTGTGAACGTGGTCTTGGTCACAGCCCTGGGACTGACCTGGTTTCTCTACCTGCACAGCATGTCAGGCAGCCTTGGCTCCGGCAGCTGGTACGGCGCCATCGGGCGGGAGCCGAGCTGGTGTGGGGGCAGCCAGACGCGGACCACTCCTCTGCTCTTCTCCCAGGTGCCGGGACCCGGCGGCCACCACCACAGCCTCTACTCCACCCCACAGACGTGATCCCCCACCCCCCTAGGATGCCCAGACCCCAGGCCCGCTCACCCCAGGCCCCTGAGCCAAGTTCATCTGCTGCTTCTTGCCCAGGATCTGAGGGGCTGTAGCCGCCTCCCCGCCCTAGCTATCTCCTTGGCTGCTCCTGTTGTTGTGAGCTTGTACTGCTCCCCTAGGGTGGGGGACATGGCCCTGGCTGCCAGATGCCCACAGTACGCTGGCATGACCTGCCACCTCTGCTTCTACACCGGAGCCAGCTACCTCTCCTGCACCTGCCACTCAATAAACAGTGTCTGTGCCCCGTGTCCGTTTATCTGTCTTGTCAGTCATCTGTCTGCCTTATCTTCTCCCTCATCTCTGCCGGTTTGGTCAACTGCCTGCCTTGACCTAAGGTTGATTAGAGACTGGTCCTTGATGCCAGCTACTGGGCTGGGCTGAGGCCACTTATTTCCACTGAGGTGGGTGGGCAGGGACAGTAGGAGCCTGCTGTCTGAGGGGCAAGGGAGACCACTTAGGCCTTTGTTCTCAAAGTGCTTTTGGCCCAGAATAACCCTGTTCACACTGCAGTCCCCTCCCCACTTGAACAATTTCTACTCTTTTTTCAAGATCTGTTTCAGTTGTTACTTCCTTTATGAAGCTTTCCATCCCTCGCTCATGGAACAACGGCCCCTCTCCTTGGCCCCATACCCCCGTGACTGTGGTTATGCGTCTTGCTCCCTACCAACTGGGAGTTTTGGAGCCCCTTTCCCGGTCACCACCCCCAGCCTGGCCTTCAGGTGCCAGGGGTTAGCCCAGGACCTGCAGAGATGTTGACATGGTGACTTAGCAGTCCACACCTCTACCAGGTGTGGGTATGGCTAGCTGGGTGGGGTGCTCCTACCCCCTGAGGCCCCCTTCTCCCTTGTACCCACAGCCTGTCAGCGTAACACAGATCTGCCCCACTGCAGGGGCCCTTTATCAGAGGGTCTCTCCCCTGCCCACCTACCTGGCTGCCCCAGCTCCCAGGGCCTAGCATCAGGCCTGCCTGACAACAGTTCACCTGGGGCTATGTTGGCACCAGGCCTGAGGGGCCACCAGACAGGGCAACTCACCAAGAACCACTTGTGTTGGAAATGGAAATTGCTAATGTTTGTAGGGCACTTTATTGTGTGCCAGGCTCTGTTTTGAGCATTTGCAAACCCCGACCTCTAAGGTCTAACAGCACCTGAGGTGATCATTCACCATCCCTCTTCTG